ATACAAGCTCACAAATTTCACATAATCAAAACTAATCAAGATGTCTATTCAAAAAACTTTGAAAGGCATTATTTCCAGTTGTCAAGTGCCCAAGCTATTTGCCAAATCACAAATGTCACTCATCGTCTGATTAGCACAATAGTTACTCGCAGAAGTGTCATCTAAAAAAGAAGTTGTTCTCCTTAAGATTCGCTTCAGAACTATAAACAGTATGCAAGAAAGAATGTCTGTAGAAAGCGCGTCTATTCTATCCAACAAAATATGTAGGAAATAAATACACGCATGCTTTCTTCTACAATGAAGAATATTTAATTTAGATCTTAGGAGAACATCATCAGAGTCACGATTGGCTAGGGCCATTGTTAGGCCAATTCTATGGGCAAAACCCCATAAGAAATTCTCTTGCAAATTGCAAAGATCTCGCTGGAGCACAGCAACATCATCATCATTGTTAACTAACGTACACAATTTGGCGTAATCCACATAAAGCAGACATCGACAATCAGCCTACCCTGGTAGCTCATTTATAAAAAGATTAAATAGTGGGGGCTCAAGAAGCAAACCTTGCAGAACTCCACTAGGTACATCAAATATACCTGATGAATATCCTTTAATACAAACAAGCTTCTTTCTGTCTGTCAGGTAACTACCAATGCTTTAGCAAAGCTCCCCTAATATTGCAAGTAAGATAACATGGTTAATGTGATCAAAAGTCTTCCAAAAATCTGCATATATCACATCTAGTTGTGCTCTTCGTGACTTGGCATCACAAATCGCATTCTGCAGAAGGACCAAATATATAACAGTAGATCTATTTGGCTAAAAATTGTTGCGCAAGTGTTAAATATATGATATTGCAGATGATATTGACAGGTGATATTGAAGATAAAGGTTTTGATGGCAGATTTTAAAATAAGGTCATGTACAATTTTTCAAAAAATCTGAGTACTTTTCAAGTAATTTTGTGGGAAATTTAGTCAATTTTTAAATTTGTACACAATTTTTTCTCTCAGAAACAGCACCTAATTGTTTGATTAAATTTTGACCATCGAGAGAAAAAAGGACACTTAAGAGAATAGTGCAGAATCATTTTCATTACAATCCCCAATTTTTTAAGAAATTGCACAAAACGTTATGGCACCCTTTAACTAAAATTATAATTTTCCCCCCCTCTTTATTTCTTTTCCTTTATGTAATTAGTTCATTATAAACAGGTCTTCAAATAAGCTTGTGTTTAATTTTTTGAAAATACAGTAAAATCTTTCTGAACTGGTGCCTGTACAAGCCAGAAACCTGCCTTCAGCAAAAAATTTCTCTGGCCTGTCAGGTTAAGTGGCATTTTACACAACAAAAAAACGGAATCAAAGACGGAAATGGAACGGTTTTCATGTCCTGCAGGGGAAAAACTTTAATTAGCACAGACACGCAAGATACTCTTCATGGAATGAATGTATCAGCAAATCTGTTTTAATTTTTCTGTACCAGTTATATGAGTTTCAGTTGTGGCAGCTGCACAGTGATGGCAAGAAGTTTCAGTTGTCAGCGTAGAATACAACCTTGGGGTCGCTTGTTTCTCCAGGCCTAGTTCCTAGAGGAATTCCCTCTCTCCCGGCTCTAAGTGTGAGAAGGTGCAAACGCATGGCACTTATCTACCAACCCCGCGCTGACAATCAAAA